AATTTCCGCCCGGCCGGGTTTCTAAATAGTATTAAATCCGAATTTCCAAATGAAATAATCGGCATCGATTTATTGGGCCCTTTCCCAAAAAGTCAGTTAAACAAAAGTCGCTATCTCCTTGTTATGGTTGATCATTTTAGTAAATGGACCGAAATTGTTCCCTTAAAACGAGCCTCCGCGAAATTAGTTACCGATTCTATTTTAAATAAATATATTTTAAAATACGGGGCGCCCCTAAAAGTTATATCGGATAATGGTCCTCAATTTGTAAGTAATATATTTGAAGACATGTGCCAAAAACTGGGCATACGTCATTTAAAAATGGTCCCGTATCGGCCGCAATCAAATATAGCGGAACGGGTCAACAGAAATATAGTGAAAATTATCCGTAGTTATGTTAAAAATTTTCATAAAAGCTGGGATAACTATGTCAATGAATTTGCTTTCGCCCTTAGGACCGCAAAACATGATACAACGGGCAAAACTCCTGCTGAGTTATTTCTAGGCAGAAAGGATTATAACACCGTTAGATAAACTATTTTATGTGCAACAAAGAGCCCCAGAATTTAAAATGGGTGATATAGAAAAACTAATAAAAGAAGCAAAAAAGAATACGGAAGTAGCACAAAGAAAAAAAATTGTATTATGACTTGAAACGACGGGGAGTAACTTATAAAGTAGGGGATGAAGTACTAAAAATTAAGCATTCACTTTCTTCAGCACCAGAAGATAAAACTGCCAAATTTTTTCCACGCTTTGAAGGACCATATGTTATAGAAAAAATAACTCACGCTGTTGTAGTGTTAAAGGCAAGAAATGGTGAAACCTGTTCCGCAAACATTGATCAAATTAAAGCCCTTACTATCGATCGTAATAAAATGCAAATCTTTTCAGATCTTTTGCAGGATCCGGTACGGCAGACACCGCAGGTACAAGTTCCAGAGGTGGGAAAACGACAAGTACAAGGGCAAGCCAATGAGAGACAGAAGCAAGTGAAAAGAAAATTGCCCCGCGGAAAAATTGAAGGTACAAAGAAAAAGAAGCCGTTCCACCGTCCAAAAACAGAGTTCACGAACACCCCCAGAATGAAGAAGGGAGAAGGACGACGTATGTGGAAAAGGACCGGGAGAAAGGACGGCAACTATAACCCGGCTGTGAAACGGAAGATTGACTCATCCGACAGAACTCTCCGCAGCAAAAGTCGCCGAACTGCGGAAGGGCCATCAGCGGCGGAGGAAAAAGTACAAGAAAAATTTGAACGGCCAACAACGAGGTCCAAGCAGGATCACGACAGAAGTTTCCCGGTTCCACCAAGACCAGCTGCCTTCAAACGGCCAAGACCACAAGCAGAGGACAAAAGGAAGATGTTCAAGGGTGGCCGTAGTGGTGAAAAACGGAAGCTTCCAGAGGAAAGCACTGAAGGGCGAGCCCGTACAAGAAGGAGGATCAACCAAGCTACGGTCTGCAGCACCTTTAAAGACTGGGCCCAGAAAAGGATGTCTGAATATTACAAAGATAAGTAAAATTTTATGTTACTTTACAAACTTAAGTTAATCTTTCATTCTTACTGCAAGTGGCAGATTTCAAGAAGTTTTACCTCATGCGAGGTCTACCTTTATCGCCAAAAGGGCGAGAAATGAGTTGTGACCGATTTTCTTATTATGTTTTTCAATTACTCGCGCGTAAAACTAAAGTTGATGTATAATAGCGTTGTGTAAAGACTTAAATATTGTAAAAAGTTATTGTATAAATTTTATTTAAAACATTCTAACAAGAAAGAAGTTTTAGTCTGAAAGACTTTTTGAAATGTAGTATTATTTCAATGTAGAAAGAATTGGCACTTGCTTTGAAAAGAATAGAAGTTAACAATGTACTACTAATGTATGTTTTCAAATGTGTAAAATTAACGGCATCTTGATATGTTCTTGTATACATGTGAACTGTTATTTTGAATGTTTAAGAAATACCGTGATATGGTAAAAGTGAAAGTAATGTTAAAAATTTGTTATTCGTGTGACTGTAAAGATTAAATCATGGTGAATATGTGTTAAAGGTTGAATGATGTAGTTAGGCTCTCTGACGCTACACTTTAGAGTTAGCCACTTTCAGAATAGTACCTCAGGGTCTAGAGTTGAAATTAGGGTGTGTTAAGAGGTCTCGTATGTTGAATTTTAACACGTTAGTGTTTTGATTGTAGGAGGAAGTGTTGAACACATAGACAGAAACACATTCGTGTTTGGTGTTTTTACAACACATGTCAGAGAGCACGGGGAGAGATAATTAAAATAGTCATGAATGAAATAAGAATGTTAAGAAAAGTATATTCTATATGTTATTTGCAATGTCATTCTGTAACATTTCATTAAACTAGTTTTCCTTCCAGATCTCTGGAAGGAACCAGAATTGAATAAAGCTCCTGTTTAGATGCAGTACAGATGAAAAAAAAAAAGATTGTTGTATATTCCGGGAGCTGCTATTGTAACAAATTTCTTTCTTTTAAATTTTCTAGTTTCTAGCTAAGTTATGATTGTAAAAGGTTGGCCTCGCGTTAGTTTCTAGAGCTAAAAGTTTTCAACAAGGTCGTTTTAGACCTCAGTTTCAAACTAATTAACTCTGGCGGGAAGTATGTAAGGATCTTAAGTTTTACTAACGTTTATTTTATTTTAAATCTTTACTATCACTTCTTATTTTCTACTTCCGGCCAGAATTATAAGCGTGAAGGAGTTTATGCAAAGTTGTCTGGCGAACGCCAAGTATTTAAGTGTGGCCTTTTTGCCAAGCAGAAGAGAGGAAGCCGTGAGTTCGAAGCAGGCCGCTTACCTTAGAAGTTACGCAGTTGCTACTTTGCCTTCCAGGCCAGAGGTTTTAATCCTCTTGATAAATTAAACGTATTGTAGTGTTCACAGTCTCTGTGCTACATACGCTTCCTGTTATTATAAGGCCAATCTTCTTATTCTAAAGTTAAATTAGAGTTTAGTTTTATTTTGATATCTTTTAAGTTAGACCCCGAGTGGAGGGTCATTGTATTCCGAAGTACGGAAGTCATTGTATATAAAGAAAAAATAAAGGGTTTTGTATACCCTTCGTCTGTATCCTGTCTACTTACTACAATTAGTGAACATAGCTTTAGTAAGCTCTCTGTTCTAGTCAGGTCATTGTATGTTTCCGAAGAAGGTTAGAAGAAACATTGAACCTGATATAATTTGGAAAAAAAATTAGAATTCAAATTTTTTTTTTTTTTTTAATAAAAAAAGTTGGGTAAAAATATAGAAGAAAAAACGAGTCTGCAAGGGTTTCGCCCAAGGCTTTGAAGACCGAAACCCAGGAGCAGGTGGTCCCTGTCCATTTCTTCTCCAAATTGACAAAGTGGGCAAATAGGATCGTTCGAAATGCCTATGCAGCGGCAAGACAATCCTGTCCTGTAGACAGGCAGAAAGCCGCAACGGCATTGCGTCTTAGACTATTGGGAATAAGAGAAGGACTTATTCTCCAACGTTTTAAGGCTGTACTTCTGAAGATATCGTGAGATATTAGATGTAAATATATATATATATATATAAAAAAAAAACAGTTTAATCCTCCAATAAGAATTGGCTGGATGAGGATGTTGTAGTAAGCTGGAACCTCTTTTTGCAAGTAAGTCCGCTTGTTCACTGCCCCAAAGACCACAATGGCCGGGCACCCACTGGAGAACGATTTGTTTTCCCTTTTAAAGTGGAGTTCTCGGGAATTCTTCATATTGCAAAATTTCAGGTGTTAGTGGGTGTTTCAACAGAGCTAATTGAGTGCATGGCTGCTTCAGAATCAGAAAAAATGACTGCCTTTGCAAACTTGTAATGAATAGCTAATGATTGCTTTAGGGCTATACAAGTGGCTACTACTTTATCATCAAAGGAGATACCAATATATCCTGCAGGGACGTAGAAAGAAAAAAAGATTGGAAAACATACCGAACCCAGCTTTAAAATGACAGTCAAATTGAGTACCATCAGTAAAAATGTGCAACCACTGAATAAGTGGATATTTAACCGCAATGATCTCCAAAGCGAGAAATTTCACAACGATTGGTGCAACATCTCTGTTTCTATGGATGGTTCTCACTATGTCTAACCTTACTTCGACATTAATCATCTCCAAAGGGCTTCTGGTTGTCAAGAGAAGTTGTATATTATCTGCTGGAATCTCGAAGATCTTTCTTTATGTCTAGTACCTTTTGAATAAATTCATATTGGCACTTGTTTTCGAATTGATTTTCGTAGACGGTAATGCACATCGATCTGTTCCTCGATTATACCAAGCGTTTAGACGGACTAGCTACAATATTTGCTTGACCTCAGCCCCGTCGAAAATTTCGGGATAGCCATCCAACTACTCACAAAGAGCTGGAAATAACACTATGGGAAAAATAGTAATTATTACCGTTTGGTGTGTTTGAATAACGTAGCTGAAAGCATGAAACGTCTTTCCACAGCTTGTGTGAAGGTGATCACATCCTTTAGTAACCCTCTGTACGCGGGTAGAAAATTCATAAACGAAATTCACATTATTCACCCACGAAACAGATCTCAGTTAAAAGCTTAGTTTCTGCCGACGCGATAAGAACGTATATTCAGGATAATGAACGTATTACTCATGGATCTGCTCACAATATACGAACATAACTAACATTTTTTAACGTTAAAAAATATGATATTCATAAATAAATAATTCTAAATAGGCTTATATAAATTTTGCTCGCTCTAAATGTTTAGTCATGAATAAATATATGACCGAGCTGGCTATTTTCGTGTGAAACTTGGAATCAATCAAAGTATTGCTTGATTTAGTGATGTATGTGTTTGTATGCATCACATAACTTTCGGAATAATAACATTCCTTTTCGAAAGTAACGTAATTACTCATCTACATAGATGAAATAAAAATTTTACTCTAAGAACAAAGAATATATTCTCATATAAAACTAAACTTCATGATTAATCTTTGGACCAAAAAATACTCACTGATTTTGCAAAACTAAAGAAGCTTTTCGTTTCGCCAGATACGATGCTTGAGGTGCCTAAAAATAGAGGAAAACTTACATAATAATGTTAACATCGTAACACAGAATCTTTTAAAGTATATACTTGTTAATACACTGACGAGCCAAAACATTATGACCATCCCCACATTTTTCAATGAACTGGTCTGGATGACGCGGAGGATACGTGATTAAATGGAAAAGGCATTTAACTGCTGCTTGGAGAAGGTAAGGAATCATTCACGCATTTCCGTTTGTGAGTGATGGGAAAAGGCTGCTGATCTAAGCGAATTTGATAGAGGGCAGAGATTGTAATGGTTCGAAGAATCGAAACTGCGCGACTGGTTAGATGTTCACGATATGCCGTTGTTGGAATCTATCTAAAGTGGATAAATGATGGTGAAACTAGCAGCAGACGTCAAGGTGTTGGATGTCTACATCCAAAAGGACGTTGAAGACTGTCCCGTTTGGTACAGCAAATTCGGCGCCAGACAGTGGCTCAGCTGACAGCCCAATACAGTGCAGGCCAAAGTGTAAACGTTTTGGAACACACAGTTCAGCAGACACTGTTGGATATGGAGCTGCGCAGCAGACATCTGGCTGGTGTACCTCTGTTGACCAGGCGTCATTGTCAACTACGCCTACATTGGACCCGGGAACATCGAGACTGGACCAATGGCTAAGTGGAAGACAGTTGCTTGATCGTATGAATCACGTCGATGATCGAGTCAGGGTACGTCGTCTTCCAGGCGAACAGTTTCTACCCCCTGTACAGCAGGTCATACACAGGCTGGTGGTGGCGGTATTATGATTTAGAGGATGAAAAAAGCTTTAGAGGCTCAAAAACCATGAAAGCCGCAACTGGCTTTCATGGTTTGTTCTACTACAACTAAGGCTCTGGAACCCTTAGTTGTGGTAGAGCAGACCATGAAAGCTCTGGACTATCTGAACATAACTGCGGATCAGCTATCTTTACGTGGCATCTATCTTCCTAACTGGAAATGTAATCTTCCAGCAGACAACGCTCTATGTTACAAGGCTCGAATTGTGTTGGAATGGATCGAGGAACATAAGGATGAATTCCAGTTAATGTCCTGGTCACTTAACTCGCGGATCTTAATATGATAGAGCACATTTGGTATGTTATGGATCAGCAGCTCCGAGCTCAAACACCACCATGTAGGAGTATCTTGATTTTGTGGTGACCGCTGCTTAGACGTTTGGTACAAACAGTCATCTACCAAGAACTGCATCCATGGTAAGACGAGTTGCGGCTGTTTGATAGGCCAAAGGTCGCGCAATGCGTTTTATTGAGTAGGTAGTCATAATGTTTTGACTCTTCAGTGTATGACGCCATTTAGGTAAGTAGCATTCAAAACTGTCATTAGTTTAATCCAGATTTCATACAAAGTTTTTTAATTATATATGCTATAATTACTCCTTGAATTCCCACTGGTACCTTACGTTAACATATAACTGAGATATTTCGAACACTTATTCGAAATTCTAAACTGTGTAATAGCCTAGGGTTTCTCCTTCTGCAATTTAAATTCTCCAAGACCTTGTTTCTTATTTGACAAACCTAAATTGAATATTTTATTAATCGAGCGAGGATTATGTTTAGGAATTCTTCACTTATCTTTGGAAAAAAAAAAGTGATGTTCCTTTTAATAACAATAATAATAATAATTCCTTTAATAAATAACAATGATAAGAAATAAATCCTTTAAAAAAATAAGAAGCCTTTTAATAACCAAGGATAATTAGAAGAACAATAAGAAGATTTAATAATAATCCAACTAACAGTAATAATCCGGGGAATTAATTAACAAAAAAAAAAAACTATAAACTAGAATAATAATAATAACGTAGATAATTAATAGATATAATTAATAACAATAATAATGATTGTTAATAATAATTTTTTAAATATAAATTTTTTTAATAATAATAATTCCTTTAATAAATTCCTGTTTTTTTTTTTCTGTTTAATAAATACATAGACGAAATAAAATTAATAAATAAGATTTTTAGAAGTCCATTAAAAACTTCACAGATATTTAATAAATGATTTTAACTTATTTAAAAGAAAATGTGAATGGGAAACCAGAAGCGCTCTAGCACTCAAAGGGTTTCCATAAAATATTAGAAAGTAATTTTATGAAAGGTAAATTCATCATAAAATAAAGTCAACAAAAATTTCCTCTGAACATTCCGAGTCTTTTTTTCTTCATAAATGAGCAAGAATTTTAAAAATTGCCTGAAGTTTTGTTTTATGACTACCTATCAAAAATTGAAAAGTGCATATTTTCTTTCAAATCTCAAGTGTTAGATTTCTTGCGTTTATCAGATTTGCTCGTAAAAGCAGATTTTCCCGGAAGATTAAAATTTAAATCTCTTCTTTGTTAAATTTATATGTGTGTAAGCTTTGTTATTTCACACTGGAAGTTTGTGGTTTATGAACATAAAGTAAAATATATTCCTTAGATTCAATGTGCATGTGCAATCTGCACACACATACACACACCAGAATTAAATAAAAGTAAAGGAGGAGACAGTTCTACACCTCCTGTTTTCTTGAGCCAATTGACAAAATTCAACTTGCGTTTTTCATGTCTCAAAAGCGCGACTTAGGATATAGCAGTGTTCTAATATAGGTAATTTTGACTCCAAACCGAACTTTTTCTGAAATGATCAAACCGACTTTTTTCCATACTTCTTTTCTACGACTCAAATTATGCCTAGACATTAAATTTTGTACAATTTGTTGAGGAATTTACCGAAAAGTTAAAAAAAATTTCTTCTCTCATTTTTTTTTTCAGTTTGCGCCAAGAATAATTAACTTGGCGAAATTTTTAATTTGTGTTAACCTGTTTCCCTTTCATTGTGCACGATCGAAAAAAAAAAAAAAAAAAAAAAAAAAAAAATGCGCCTCGTTCATTCTTTCAAGTAATTTTAACAGAGTAAACCACTTTTGGCGTTATTATCGCTTATAACAAATATGCAAAATTTAAAAACGCTCCAATATGTCAGTTCACATATATTTTGAGCAATTTTGAATTAAAAACTCTAATGTTTTACAAGCATGCCTAGAAACACATCAACTTTAAGGTGACGGTAAAAATGTTACCTTATATATATGCGGCTTAAGTGTTTGTCGCCGATAGTTTATTGGTTACTTGCGTAACTGTGCTAGCCAATGGTTTCTCATACATTTAGTTTTCAAATCCAAGTTCAGAATTTTTTTTATTGTTGCCAAAACTAGATATGAAATACAATGTTGCCAATAAATGCATTTTTCTTTAAAATTATTAAATTTGTTTTTGTATTTTAAACTAGATTTTCAGCTGAACGCAAATTGAGCGTGTCAGGGCAAACGTGAACATGTGTTTGCAGTGGCAATCATCTGTTTTTGAAATGGTTTACAATTGTAATTATATCTTTATTCCACGGAATCTGTTCACGAGGATATTTGTTATTTAGTTCTTGCCAGAGTGGGATCAAGTATTTACACTTTTCATTTTAAACAAAAAATCATTTTGTGCAGTAAGTAAATTAATTCAGATTAATTCAGTTTGAATTAGCAGACACCTTTGCACAAATCATTTTAATTACAATTTAAAACATCTAGAACAGCGGTCATTTCGTATGACCGCCGGGCTTTCTAGTAAGTTATAACACAAAAATGTTTTCGAAAAATTTATAAAAATTATTAAAAAATAGAAGTTTTAAAAATAGATCAGAAAATATAGCGAATTTTATTTTATTATTTGGAGTTATTATTTGGAGTGAACCTAAATTTGGAACCGTGAAAGAAGGAATAAATTATGTTTAATTAAAAAAGAAAAAGAAATATTAACAAAAATATACCAAATTCAATTGGCGCTTTCGAGAGATGAGAAACGCAAGTTAAATTTTGTAAATCGGCTTACTAGAACAATAGATATAGAAATGTTCCCCCCCTTTTTTTATGGAGAGTGTACATAGGCTTGTCTTTTACCAAAACTAAAGGAATGTAAAGAAGATGTATATGTGTTTTGTAAACAATAGCAGAATTTTAATGATTAATACTCTTATTTTAATAGTAAGCTTTTTACTTCCTTGTACGAAGTAAAAAGGAAGTATTGTAATCACGAAAAGCTTCAGGCAGCATATTCCAACGAAAATATCCACTTTGACCGCTTTCGAATGCAATTTAACGATGTTTTTACGTAATATCTATACGTAAGGACAGAATAAAAGACTCTTCTCCTCCAAAAAAACTAAAAAACTGCTTTAAAATGAATTCTGAAGAGAATTTTTTGTGGCGTCTGTACGAACGTATGTACGTACGTGCGTACGTGCGTGCGTACGTACGTATCTCGCATAACTCAAAAACGAGTAGCCTCAGAACGTTGAAATTTTGTATATAAGACTACTATAACATGTAGATGTGCACCTCGTATTTTGGTTTCAATCGGCCGCGCCAAACGTATATAAATATATTTATAAATATATCCACTCTGTTACCCGGCTCAGTGATCTCAGTTTCTTTACTCAATATGTTTGTAAATTGTACATTTTTTGCTTTTAAAAATGATTGAATTATATTGTTTTTATCTTCCGGTTAAAGTTTTTATGCCTTTAGTAAATTCTGGAAGCAATATTTTAGAATTATCAACAATTTAAAAGTTGTTTAAGTGCCGGATAACGCTTTTTTAAATACATGGCGGCCATATTTGTTTACATTTGAAACAGCAGAATTGTAGATTTGTTGCCAATCTAGAGATACTTAGCTTCGCAACACAAAGATAACGCCTTCATTTATTATTGCGAATTAAATCATGCTTAATCCTTTCTGGAATTTTTTCGAGAAAAGAAAATAAGTTTAAGATTTACTTCGTAATTTTTAATACAGATATTTTGAGATTTTATGTATTTTTGCCTTGTCTCGAAGTGAGAACTGAATTAATTGAATGAGAACTACTCAATCGTCTGTGAAAAACTGTTTCTTTTTTGTTTTTGTTTGCTTAATTTCTTTTATCCATCGTTCTAGATTTATTATAGTATTTGAATAGAACATGTGGCAACGATTCGATAATTCTTTAAATGATATAAATTTTGTGTATTCTGAGTTATAATATGAACGAAATATAAATACTGTTAAGTAAACTAGCGCCAGAGTGTCGCTATATGTTAAACAAAGTGAATTTTAAAGAATTAAAAGAATGCATTTATTCTATTGTGTTTTATGCGCCTGTCGGCGAAAGTAGGTTTAATTCAATCTAATAAGTTAAATGAAATGCAAGAAAAAATGCGTATAATTTAATATTCCGTACAAGGAAGTCATGTGGTGTACACATCAGATTTTTTCCATAAATTAAACTATAAATTTTGTATAATGTCTCATTCTGCAAATTTTTATAAAAAGCAATAAGACACGGGATGATAGATATAAAAATGTAATAAAAAGATAAAAGAGCATAAACAGAAAACTGTATAAATTTTATAAGGTATTTCTCCTATCTTTTTAGCATGCCTTCGCGGTGTAGTGGTCGGCTCGCTTGGCCCGTATTCGAGAGGTCCGAGGTTCGAGTCTCGGCAAGGGCAATGCACATTTTTCACTTCTTCTTCTTCAAAAATCCTTAATATCTCTACAAGTTAAAAACCAAATTCAGTTCTTTTTCAATAACCCGTATATTTTGAATGCTGTGTAGCAGAAACAAATGATACGAAATAAACTATAATGTTTTTAAATCTGTGCGTACATGTATATTCGTAAGGTAATTAGAAAATTAAAATTTTATTGCACATTTTTCAATCTTAGGCATTTCAAATTTCATTTTCTTCGTTCGCATGATTTTAATAATGGAAAAGAGTTTTAACGTATTCTGTGAGTGCATTTTACACTAAGTACTCACAGTTAAATAAATAAAGTTAATTTCTCCCTGCTGTAATTTACATTACAAAAATATAGCAAAGTTTAATCAAATAGGTTGTTACTATGACTATTTAGTATTAGGTAATTTACCAAAATTTCATTTTAATCAAACTCGTCAAAAAATAAAGTACTCTAAAAACATCAATGCTCATTATAAATCTTGTCAGAAAAGAATTATAGAATTCTTACCGTACAAAATGTATCGACCGAGGGGCTTAAGAAGGCTGTATCCTTTATTTGCATCTTCTCCACATAAACAATCGAGTACAAGATCTACGCCTTCGGGCAGTAATCTAAAAAATTTTAATGTCGGGAATACAGAACAAAACGCTTCAACATAAACAGAATTTTATAGTATAGGAACTTTGAATTATAAATCATTGCTTGCATTTCAAAATAAATATAACTTGCAGGAAAAAATAAAGTTGGTCATAAAAGAGAGGCGGGTTAATTATTTACTTTTAACTACACATTTTTATTTACATTATAAGATTTACATTATTCTGCAACAATATGCTTTCTGTCAAACTTCCGAGTATTTTGCATAATTTCGATCTCACGTATTTCGAAACTGGCCTTGAAAACGGTTTATGAACCGTCATATTTGCAAATTAAATTCTTCCTTAGTGAAAAAAAATGCTATTTTTAAGGGGGTTCATACACCTTTTAAACCCCTTATGATCTTCGAATGTGTGACTGTCGCAAGAATTGGGATAACTTATTTATTTTAAAAGCAATTACTTCCAACTTTTTATGGCTGACTACATAATATAGCTGCTTTCTGAAATCGTAATCAGAAAGTTTGTGTTGCCACAAACATTTTTATAATTTAATCTGCTTTGTGACAAAAAATTTTCGTCATGTTTCCACCTGCGCGCACAGTTTAAAATTGTGTGTTGCATTATTTATTCCATAGTTTATATATAGCTTTATAACATTTGGAAACTACTGTAAACCAAAAAAACTGAGAATTTAATGTTAAATTTTTATTTTATTTGGAATTGAGTTTATGAAATGTATTTAATTAAAAAAATATGTAATGTTTAATGTAAAAATCCGTAATGTATTTTATTAAAAAAATCTGTAATCTGTAACGTGCATAAAATTTTTTAATATTAAAATATTCGTCAGATTTTTGGTTCAGTTAGAAAATAGTGCCCAAATAAAAAATTCCATCAAATTTCAAGTATAGCCATTTTTAAAATATCATGCGCACAAGGTGGAAACATGACGAAAAATTTTGTCACAAAGCTGATTAAATTAAAAAAATATTTGTGGCAACACAAACTTTCTGGTTATTAGTTTCCAAAGCAGCTATATTATGTAGTCAGCCGTAAAAAGGTGGAGATAATTACTTTTAAAATCAATAAAATATCTCAATTCTTGCAACAGTCACATAATTCGAAGCACATAAGGGGTTTAAGGTGTATGAGCCCCCTTAAGATGAAAAAGCTAATTTATTAAACGTTTTACAATCTTACCTAATACGAAAGTTTTATTAATGCACCAAATAGTAAAGTATTAAATCTGTTATTATAATTAATTACATGAGCACCTCAGAATATAGTAACCACATCAAGTAGAAATGAAGGCTTATTATCTAAAAGAAAATATGGGGTTTATTTAATCGATGACTAGTATGACTTAAAAGTTTAAGCTAAGTCACGGAATCAAGTTGACGCCACGAGTTTTGAATTAAAAGTTACGTGTTCGGGAAGTTTGCTTTTGGATGTAAATTGCGAGATTTATTATGAGAATACTGTTAAATAAACGTCTAAAAACTTCATTTCTTTGAATAATGATCTTAGACATGTACATTAGGGTGGAGCGAAAAAACTGTTTTTTGAAATTTATATTGCCTGAGTCGTTATATGGTTCTATATGAGCTAGAATTAACTGTGTTCAAAATATACCGAGAATAGAAAATATAGTAAAGTAGCCAGAAAACAAACACGCGCCGCTAAGGACTCCAAAGCCCTCTCTCTCTCCTAAGGACTCCTAAGCACAGTTTCTTAACCATTTGCGGCAGACCTAAAAATTTCCTTCTGTACGCACAGAAAAATTGAATGAAAAAGGATTTATAGTTTACTATAGGTTACTCTCAACCTTCTTTATTTATAGTAGATGGCAGCTCAACACAAACCGATCCATATATTTTAGCCATGTTTAGTTTTTTAAGAACCTCATTTTTCAAAGAAATCTTCCAGATTTATTTTAGGGTATAAAAGGAATTATTGGAAAAAATATTTATATGTTATTTTTGGCTGTATGCTAATCTCCTTATTCTATATTAGTTTTAAATTTTTACCTTGAAATCTTGCCTAAAATCGAACGGCGAACCCTAGATGTGCCGAGACCGGGCTCACCGATAATCTAGGACAACCGAGAGTCTGTATTCTTTGTTTCTCCGCATCTCATCTCTCAGTTCATTGACAACAATGCTCGTTTCAGCACTCTTTTCGAAGCTCTCTTGGACCAGTGTGCCACTTTGGGCACACACAGAGAACTAAAACGATAAGGGCTATCTTCACAAAATTTTGCTTGTGTACTCCTCTAGGCCTAATTAGTGTGCTTACTTTTCTTTTTTTTAATCAAAACTCCGACTATAAAAGGTGGCGGGCCGAAAAGGGTTAAGTAGGTTGAATATTGTTTGAATACTCCTTCTAACTGATTTGCATAAAACTCACTCTGTTAGGGAATAGTAGAATAGACAGTTAACTTAAAATAAATGTTAGAACGTCACCTCTACACACACATTTGCGATAACAGATGAAAATTCACAGTAAATCATTATAATAAGTAAATGGTAAAGAATTACTTTTTGATTTCTTGAACATAATCTGCGCTGTGGTCAAACAGATGAGTAAAATATTCAGATATACTCTCATGTTTATGCTTGGAAGCTGTCCCGATGAGCGTTATATTGGGAACTGTCTTACAGAGGACTGCTACAGCTAATCCCTGAAAGAAAAAAAAACGCGAATTATAGGAATTTAAGAAATGTAATTTCGTAAGGAAACTAATGCACAAGGAGCAATCTTTAGAACCATGGCTTTAGAACAAACATAATTATAATTATGCCTGTCTAAAACGGAATTCTAAATTGAAATGGAAATTAAATGCTTCAGAAATCATAAATTTTAATCAAAATGTTTTAAGAATGCTTTCATTCAATTATATAAACTTTCACAGACAATAGTGCGAGGAATATTCAAAGGTTCAGATAAAAGCAGGCTTTGCAGCTTTTGTAGATAATTACCGTCCATATTGCATGTTATGAAAATAAGATTTCCATAATTCTCGAAACTGCGAATGCAGCTATATCATTATTGGCGGTCGCCGAAAGAGTTAATCTTCTTCGGAAACGATGAAAAATATTACTAAGAGGGATGAAAAGTATCATAATGTTCGCATATTTATCGAGTTTTAAGTAGTTATTTAGATAGTTAAAAATAATAGTTATACTCCCTTACGGTTATGTTAAGTAATTAAAAAGTAACCAAAAAGAATCTGAAAGGTTTTAGATTTATATTACGCCTAAAAGGGTGTTTTTTTAACATTTTATGTGTTACCTTTATTGATTAAATATCATGTTCTTCTCACTTAAACCATAAAATTCAATTCAACAACAATATCACACAATATTGTTACGTTTTTTTCTTTTCTTCTGCCAGCAGTTGTTATGTTATTTTCTTCCTTCACGTTCGTACGAGGTTTGTGTGGATTTGGAGTGAATAACGACGACACTTGATGAAGTATCGAAATACACTTTATTTGCCAGTATTGTCAGGACTCCAAAACACGTTTTACAGTCGTCGAACTATTATAAACACGCTGACACGTTAAGCGACACAGCCTTCACACTCTCAGGCAATAACGGTGGAGACAGCTTCACTGCAAAGCACCCGAGTACAGCTCTCAACTCTGCTTGGTCGTTCTCGGAACTGTACGTACTCTCGAGGCTCTCCACACGATGCACTTGACGATACACAAGAGGTGCTCTCGACTCAGCACAGTCTAAGACAAAACTCGACGACGCACTAAAAGACTCTCTCGATGCACTCGACGACCCACTCGGCGCTAGACTTCGAGACACTCGCTCAGTGACTGACTATCAGTTCGCTAGACGATGCACACACACTAATTAACTGCGGACCAGCAGGGTTTATATAGCTTTCGGCTTGTGTTCGAGAACATTCTGGGCTAAACCGGTAAGAATTCGTTCCACAAGGTTCTCCATCCGTCCATAGCATATCGCCAAGGTTTGTCGCCAAATGGGCGATTTCTCGCCAAATGTGGCAACTCTGCTTTCCCTTGCGATTTTATGGCAACCCTAAAACTGCTTTGCGGGGAAGCTATCTTACCGCGCTTGTACATTCGTAACAATATTTAAAAACAGTATATCTTTAGAATTTCCGATAAAAAGTCTCGCGCGCCGGAGATAAAAATATTTTTTCCGTACAGTGTTGCGACTGCTCGCTTCGTAATCGTTGATTTTTTTTTTATCGAAAATCCGTTACAGTTTTAGAAAATTTTAAATAGATAATAAAACAAATTCGAAATTAAAAATTCGGGGTTCCATGTGCCCATGTTCGGCTGGAGGACCACGTTATTCAAAACTGGATGGCTCTAGATAGCGTTGTGTTTTCACAAAGCAAGAAATAATTCATGCAGATTTTTCATTATTTAGTTTCTTCAAATATAATGCATGGCGATAATATTGGGTGACAACAATCTGAAAAGTGAATCGACGCAAAATGCTGTTTTGAAATTAATAGCTCTCCTGGGTTAACGCTCTTTGGACTAAAAATAATTTATTTCGACAGATACTTTTATTTAAACATTTTCTTTCTTTTCATAAAACTCATCATAAAAATCTGAGGCATCACATTACAAATTGGTAATGGTTTTTATTCATTAAAGACAAAATGTTTCTATGTTCGTAGACAATATGTGATCTCCATAGACCTTCGAAACTTCCAAACGTTGCTTGTTCCCCCCCCCACACCTTCGTAACTGTAATACCTTCGTAACTTTGAAATGTATCTGATCCTTCTTGTAATCGAAGAAACAAAACAGAAATTCATACTATTCGAAGTCACAAAATGCGAAAACATTATACACACGTCATAGATTAAGGGTAGCAAGATATAGAAATATTTATTTTTTATCCGAGGTAAAAATGAAGAACTTTCGAGTTTGCGGTCTGATTGACATATCTACTTGTCTTGAAATAACAAATTTCAGTCGGCCAGCGAACTTAAAATTCACCTTATTTACCCGAGATAAACATGTGAACAAAGCTATCTCAAATAAAAAATGTTTATCTTAAATAAGTTTGTATAAAAATATCTCAAGCATATCAGCTTTACGAAATAACTCCTTGCGGCTCTTTTACACGAGTACTAAACTTTATTATCTTTACCGGCGTAAAATGCTCGTTGTTACTTCTGTAAGAAAAGTAAACTGTCTTATTTTATATAAGTATAGGTGTAAGAATAAAATAATTCAACCATTTTACAACATTCAACCATCTGTCTCTCCTAAATATGCATTTATTAAGAAGGGAATTAAAAAAAGTGTCCACGTTTTTTAATTTCTTATACGAAGTAAAAGAAGTATTGTAATCCCGAAAACTTTTGGGTATCATATTTCAACGAAAATATCCGTTTTGACCGCTACTGAATGCAATTTAACAAAGTTTTGTGTGACATCTGTACATACGGACAGAATAAAGGACTCTTTTCCACCCAAACGGATTATAAAATTGATTTAAAATGGATTGAGAAGAGAATTTTTAGTGACGCACAGACAGGGTTACCCAAAACGAGTAGCCCCAGAACGTTTAAATCTTGTATATAGGGACTGTAGTTGTGCACCTCCCTTTTTGGTTTCAATCGGCCGCACCAGTCGTATATATACCCACTCTATCACTCGGTTCGGTGTGCTGAGTTTTTTTAATTCTTATATGTTAATAAATTGTGCATTTTTTTGCTTTAAAAATGATTCAATTATGTTGCTTTTATCTTGCAGTTAAGGTTTTGATGTCTTTAGTTAATCTGCATGCAAAAATTGTAGAATTATTAACAATTTAAAAGTTGTTTAACCGTTTGCGGCACAGTGTGTCCGGTCTGTATACACCTAAAAATTTCCTTCTGTACGCACAGAAAAATTGAATGAAAAAGGATTTATAGGTTACTATAGGTTACTCTGAACCTTCTTTATTTATAGTAGATGGCAGCTCAACACAAACCAGTCCATATGTTTTAGCCATGTTTAGTTTTTTAAACCCTCATTTTTCAAAGAAATCTTCCAGATTTTTTTTAGGATTTCTTTTAAACGCAAAATAAATAACGCTGGTAATTCGGTCCGAGTTCCAAATTCCGCGAAAGGACAGGCTGCATGGGCGTTCTCGTGGTTTTTCCATGTGTAACGTGTTAATACCTTTAACGTGTAAATAACGTAATAATAACGTGTTTCCCTTAGAAAGTCCTTCACGGAGACATCCCTTCCTTCCGTATATTTCCTAAAGGCGGAACACGTAAATAATAATACTAGCTGAGTACTTACCACGCTTCCTCCTGCAGAGTGTATTAAAACTTTCTGCCCGCTTTGTAGATTTCCTATATCGAAAAGTAAACAATAAGCAACTACGTAGTTCATCAGCATCGAGACGGCTTCTTGGTGTCCCATTCCAGACGGCAAAGTATAAACATATCTGGCCGGAACGCAGGCTAACTCGGCCCAGGCTTTAAATTCAGTCAGAGCTGCTACCGAGTCGTTCACCTGGTAAAAACAAAGAAATGGGATGAGAGTAACAAAACACCACTATTCAATTCAAATATATGCCAATACTACAACTGAAATCGTACCACTTCTAAATGGTCCATAAAATCCTTATCCTCATTCATTCAGAGATTAAATTTATTTAAATGTAATCCTAAATTAAGGTTTAATCATAAATTAAGGTTTCCTTAAACCATGTTTTGATATATTTCGTATAAAAATATTTATTAATATAGTTCTCAAAATTAGAAATATATAATCTTAAATTATGGTTTAGAGGTGGGCTTCTTAAACTTTTTTCAGTCGCGACCCCTTTTTATCATTGAGATTTTTTTCGCGACCCCAGAACCCCCATAATATTTACGAAAATTTTGTGGACCCCCCATAAGCATTGCGCAAATCCGACACACGCGTGAGTGAAACTGTCAAATTTACTGTAATATACTATTGCAGTTTTAGGTCATGAACTTTAATTTCTAATTTTAAGACACAGAACAATGTGAAAATTTTAAATAAGTAACAGACGAAATGACAGCGTCACGATCAAAGCAAGTAAAATGAACGTTTATATTATAAGAAGAATGCTTAGAAATGTTTTCATTTTTTCCTTTGTCTGTATTGTCTTTACTTTATCTATTTTCAGATACATTCTGTAAAAATATTTGGTAATTGAAAAATTATAATCAAAAGTTAAGGAAATATCAAAACTGCTAAAACTTTTGGCGATCCACTGCTGCAGGTTCCCCGAGCCCCATGGGGGTCGCGACCCACAGTTTAAGAAACTCTGGTTTAGAGAAATCGTAATGTTTTACTATTTCATACGGAAATAAATTTAAAATATGTAATTTCAATTTTATATATGGCGATATTAGCAGAGTAATGATTATTTCCAAGAGATATTTCATAAAAGAATACTGTCTGATCATTAATTATTACTACAATTTGAATTTTTATGAGGCTGTATATGAGTGACAAAAACTCGCTCTGAATAAGAATTCATATTTACTCAGTAGTCAGTTTAATCAGTCAGTGCATGTTATTCCTTCAGTCGCTCTTTAAAATGGGGAAGTATATTAGGTATTTTCTGCCTCCTTCCAGCATGCCTTCGTGGTGTAATGGTAGCACATTCGGCGCATATTCGAGAGGTCCAGGTTTGAGTCCCGGCGAGGACAAGTTTTTAAGATGTTGTGTAAATATATCTTCTTTTTATTTAAAGTTTTCTCGACAACAGAAACTACTGAGTAATTAGTAAAATATTATTGAATTCTTATTAATGAATGCTTCTTGTTCGATATTATTTTCGGTTCAAATTTGCAATAGGTGATAAATAATTTTCCTGTCTTTCTCATGAGAAGGAACAAATTTAACAGTTTTACGCTGTGCCACCGCTAGCTTAGTTTAATATTAATGAAAAATAACTTTGCTATCCTTATAGAGTCATTAGGTTAATTGGAAGCAGAAAAGATGAAAAATATGCAACCCCCTTCGCCGGGAATCGAACCACGGACTTCTGGAATACCGACCGAGCGTGCTACAGTTACATCACGAAGGCACTCTAGGGAAGTGGGAAAAATACCTTATATATTCTTTTTAATAGGGTTTTAGGGGACCTAGTCGCCAAATCCTAGGTGCGGAGAATCATCATCCACAACCCTTTTAGTTCGGGCGCCACTTGCCAGGACTTGAGTTTGTCTTGATTTGCTTTGGAAACATGATGTGTCCTGAATCGGAAATGGGAGCTTACTCAAGCTATGTTCAAAAATGTGTGGAATGGACGACACAAGCAGGAAGGCTATACGAAACCCTTTATTTTCTGTACTTTACAGGTACTCCCGAACTTCGGGATACAGAGACCAACCACTTGTGTTTGGAATTAGAAATATAAAACTACTAACTAAACTCTACTAAAGCTCATTTGAATTAGTATACAAATGCCTCGCACTAAGATTGCCATTATTTAAAAGGGAACGTAGCAGTTACGCCGAGTGCTGAAAAACCAATACGTTTATCAAATATCAAGAGGGCTTAAACTCTTGGCCCCTTAAGGCAACAGCAACTGAGTGAAAACTCGTAGAACTGCAGTGGCAAGCGGCTTGTTCCCTCTCCTTCTTCTCCCTAACTTGGCAAAAAACCACGACTTTTTACTTGGGCGTTAGCAAGCCGTTTGCAAACAAGTTAAAGCATTGGCCGGAAGTAGAAAATAAGAAGTGATAGTATAGTTTTAAAATAAAATAAACGTTAGTAAAACTTAGGATCCTTACATCCTTAACGATATGATATCTTCATATTTGGGTTGCACAAACTCAAATGTGTTAGGCTTTTCGCTGTGAGAAAGATAAAAAAAATCATTTGTACCCTCTACTGATTTGAATCACGGATCTTCGAAAACTAGCTGGATGTACTTACACCAAACAGCATGTACGAGTGAATGGATCATTCATAACAACATTAATAACTTCATTTGCTAATAATAATTCTATATTTTTATATCTTAATTTCATTTCAGTGCCTGGTTTTTTCGTACGAAGCTAATGTTTATTAAAAAAAAAAAACAGAATATTCGAATATTCGAATACTTCAATTTTTTTATAAAAAAGAGGAGGGGGGGAATCTAATTTCTAAGCAAATACTAGATCGAGAAAAAAAATACTGAAAAAAATCTAAAGCAAAAAATTAACAAAAAATCAATTCAAAGTTTAATTTCATCTCGAAGGTATTTTTGTATCGAAATCGAAAGGACGATTCATTTCAATATCACTCTTTGGTCAACGCATTTCTTGGAAAAATATTAATGCATTTTATGGTTTAATTTGTGAGCTAAATCGGAATTCGTGGTTGAAAGAATACTACGACTACATTTGCTTAGAGTTGAAGGGTGATTAAGAACGTTTTATTTCGAAAGCGGTTGAAAATGTTTTTTCTGCCAAATGATTATTCTAAAATCGATTATTTTCTAAAAAACAAACTGAAAGCGATTTGTACAATTTTGGGAAATCTTTATATTCGGTTTATTATATTATTATGTTTACAGTACTATTTTGGGAAATCTTTCTATTCGGTTTATTATATTATTATGTTTACAGTACTATTTTGGGAAATCTTTATATTTGGTTTATAATATTATTATGTTTACAGTACTATTTTGGGAAATCTTTATATTCGGTTTATTATATTATTATGTTTACAGTACTCTTTTGGGAAATCTTTATATTCGGTTTATTATATTGTTACGAATTTGCTATTTAAAAAGCTAATGTTAGTTCAATTATAAATTAAATGGTTTTATTTCTCGCGCAGTGCAGCGCGTGACGAATATTAAAAGAAAGCTAAGCCGGAAAAATTGAAAATACAAGAGCGCGTGCATTAAATAAATAAATATCTCTTTTTGATTTCGAGAAAGTACTGGAAAAAAATTCTAGCGCGTGATTTTAAAATCTTATAAAAGGAGGAAAACATCTCAGTTCGTAGTAGTTTGCTTGCTTAGTTTGTTGTTGTTTAGAAAACTGCTCTTGTTGATTGTAGCGAATTCGCGGATTAGCGTTCTTTAGCTGTTTTGAATTACGTTCTATTGGACATTTGAGTAGTTAAAAGATAACTACTGTGAGATATTGTAATACTGCATGATAATTTGAGAAAATTTAAGCATTTTTGTTGTGATAATAATAAATTTTTGTTCATTTTTCATCGGACTTGTGCATTCATTTCATAACGAACCCGTACGCACGCAACAATTTTTGGTGTTTTTTGGTGTCAGAAGTGGGATTTGAATGCCAATAACAAGAGGGATGGAAGAACAATTGAGACAGCTCATTACTGCTTTTGCTGCTTTCCAAGAAAAGATGGAAGCTGGCCAAACATCTTTTAAGAGAAGAAAATTAAAGAGAAAATGGATGCTGGTCAAAGGTCCGTTAAAGAAGAAATGAAAATTGGGCCAGGAATCCCTCAAGGAGAAATGAAATTGGGCCAGGAATCCCTCAAAGGGAGAAATGAAATTGGGCCAGGAATCCGTTAAGGAAGAGATGAAATCTCTTAAAAATGAGATGAAAGCAGGTCAGGACGAAATGAAAAGAGAAATTACCTGCGTAATAGAAAATAAATTTGAGGCTATGGAAGGCAGAATAGACGCGGTTTTTTGAAACTAAAGTTGGACATATAGAAGAGAGAGTTTCTGCCGTCGAACAACAAATTGATGATAGGGTTTGCTGCGTCGCCAAAGAAGCCAAAGAAGTTGACAGCCTAAAGAAGTGCATAGCGACGGTAGGAAACAATTCTGAAGGTTTCAAATTTTATCGATGCCTGCTCGTTCCGTTCTGAAACTATCTACATATGATGGGAAGACCTCCTGGCAGGTGTATAAGACACAATTTTTTATCGTTGCGGATGCGAATGGGTGATTCCCAAGCTAAGGCCTGTCATCTCTCCGCTTCTCTGAGAGCAGACGCAGCGGATATCCTGCAGACGCTTCCCGAAATCAAAGGCTAGATTTCGAAGCTCTATCCGGCGCTTTGGAGCTGCGCTTCGGCGAGAAATGTTTAAAAGACTACAGCAGGCTCCAATTAAAATCTCGTCAACAGAAGCCTACCGAAACACTTCAGGAGCTCGCCGCGGATGTTGAAAGGCTGTCCCATCTCGCCTTTTCGGAATGCCCGACAGAAACAAGGGAAATCCTGTCCCTTGCAATACTTTATCGACGGCATCCGGGAGATCCTGAATACAGAAAGCTCTGCGAATGGCAGATGTAAAGGACATAAAAAGCGCTCTGTTGTACGCCATGAAATTCGAGGCAGCCCAGCAAGCAACTAGTAGGATCGCTACCCAGTCAGAGCTGTGCGAGTCCACGAGCCAGGGATCAAATGATGGCTCGTTTAGATGATTTAGCCAGACAAGTCGACGATTTGATACGGAGTAGCAGCGAGAAGAAACAAAGTGGCTGTAAGGTGTTGGAGATGTGGTAGTGAGGTCACCTAAGACGGAATTGCAAAACACCCCAGGGTACGGAATATAAAGCAGATGATTTGACAAGACAAGTCAATGGCTTTAGA